CAGTTAATTCCTGTCGGATCTGACTTCTCTTGTTTGCCGTGACATGCTCTTTCCCGTTATCTCCATCCTTCACCTTACCCCTTCCATTAAGAACTCGTTCCTTCTCTGGCATATCTTTCTTACCAACTTTGCCTCTTTTGCCATATCGTCCAGCTTCGGGTACTTGTGATTGCGAACTATTCATCCCAGCAGCCGAAAAAGCTGATTTATTCCACGTCAAGGGATTTCTCTCTTCCTTGTCATCGTACTCCTCAGATGAATCCGATTCTGTATCACCGTTCCTCGTGAACATTCTGCTATCAGTATACGTATATGCTGCCCCACCAAGTCTTCCATTCGGTATCACATTCACCCGAATCTTCTCCAGCTCTGGGTTCTCGCCGAAATCCGAATTTAAGAACCTTTCATTCATCTGTTGCACTGAATCTCTACAAGTTTTCAAACTGATATCGGGTGACTGACTTTCAGACTTGCGTTTCTTGCTTTTACCGTTCCGAACATCAGATATAAAGGTGGGATTAACTGAAAAGCCATCTCCATGGATGTTTCCATGCCGGTATAGATCACCATGATGGTCTGCCAGATTTCCCATCAATAGTGGCTGAAGGGACTGTCCATTCAGTCTCAGACGCTTCCTCTGATCTACAAATGCACTTGGCTGGATACTGTCAGCATATGGTGGAGGCATGAAGTGTTTAGAGCCTGATTCTCTATCTCTTAAAAAGTTGTGTTTCTTTCCCAGTCTTGAGAATCCAGATTTTTTGGTGGCAGCTTTATTGCGATCATGCCGTGAACCCATGCCAAAGAGTGGATCATCGTCGACGTCGTCATCATCATCATCACCCACCGGCATACGATCATCTGACCCAAAAGCCAACCCTGAACCGTATTTCACATCCAGACCATTATACGCTCGAGTAAACTGCCGAATTGACTCCTTCCATGAGTGAATCTTAGAACTTGCTGTCTTTGATAACCCTTTTGCATTCGGTCTGCCATACCGATCCTGTCCTAAAGCCATCTGAGAAGGTCGCTCAAAGTCAGTTTCGACACCATAAGCAGAATGACGGTTCAATTTCTTTCGTGTGGACTTCCCATCTTTCACCTTTCTCCTCCATTGCACATCAAATGGCTCTTCCTTCTCCGATGAATCCGCCTCAAATTTCTCCATTTTCTCGTACATCAGATTCTTTTGGCTTTTCATGATATTCATAACACGGAGCTTCTCATCTACGCTGTACCCTTTACAATTCGACCAAGCATCTCTTATCTGACAAAGATTCACAACCAAGTCATTGTGGTATTTCCTAAGCATATGATAATGCTTGGTCCTGAGGAAAAGGTTACGGCCCTCTAGATAAAGCGCGTTTCTTGGTTCGCACTTTCCGCCCGTGAACATGCCAAAGAGCTTCTTGATGGGACTGCCAAAGTGGAAATCACAACCCTCAAGAAGCTCCTTCAAAGTGTGCATAAACGTGAGCTGATCCATGTCGGGCAGATACTTTGTGAGGCTAAGCCTCTCCCCCTCGGTTAGACACTCATTCCATACTTCAACCGACAGTATATCTTCCAGACCCGGAAGATCATACAGCTCGAAAGGGATGCTACAAGTCATGTTTTTCACCTGGCAGAACTCGGCCCCGGTTTCGGCCAATTCAAGCAAATCGAAATCATCAGAGCCTGCTCCAGAATCAGCATCATCATCAAAAACATCATCTTCATCATCCTCCTCCTCAGATTCGGGATTAGCAGCCGAGATTTTACGTTGAAGAAGCTCCCCTTCATCACTTGACATAGTTTCACCACTGCTGTGAGAGAACTCTGGATCAAACCTAGAGAGCTTGACGTTACTCTTGTCAGTCGCCATCCCGCTTAAGCCTAAACCAGATAACTCACTCCCCAAACGAACCAACACCCTTTTTTCGATCAAAAGTACGAATCTTCACCGACGGAAACGGTAACCCTAACGCAAACAAAGCACAAAAGCACAACCCCAGAAGAACAAAATTTCAGAATTCGAACAAAAAATAGCACATAGGGTCGTTACTCTTCAGTACCCAATTCAAAACAAAATTAGAAGAATCGATCAATCTGAAAATTAAAAAGAATACCTCAATGTTTCCTCAGAAGTGGAAGAGATTTGATCACCGAAGCATCTGCTGCCGCAGAATTCAAAAGGATTCAAGAAATTTGAATCCGAAGGAAACCCTAGAGATAAAAATCGTATAAATAACTAGAGGAACTATAGAGAAGGAGAAGACGGTGACCATGAGAGAGAGAGAGACAATGAATTCGATGGTTGAAGAAGACGATGTTGACGTGGACCGCAGCAGAGCCGTCGGATTATTGGGCGATATGTGAAAAGACGAAAAAGGACAGCCCCATAGAGGGAATGCCACAGAAGGGAGAAGAAGGCGGTTAAATTGAGGGGAAAAAAAGGGTTGTCGGGGAAGGAGACGGGTCGACTCAGTGAGTCGATACGAGTCGACCCGGAGCGAGTCGGCGCTGGGAGAGAGACGATCAACAAGAGATACGCCCATGTAGGTCCACGTGTCTCTCTCTTTTCGTTTTATTCCTTATTTATACGACTGTATGTGTATTTTTTTTCATCAGCTATATATATATAAATAATATATTATCATTTGCGTCACATAATTTTTTTTTTTGTACTCTTAGTAAAAATTTACATTCATATTTTTTTTTAAAAAAAAGGAGCAAAACAATGACGAGAATTAATTAAACTTGATAATTATGGCAAATGTCGCCAGGTTGCAAGGCTGACGTGGCACGTCCTCGAAGATTATCGCTTGCTTTGTCGGAACCATATTTCCTTGAACGTGAAAAAGTCTGTCCGGCTCTATTAAATAGTGGAGTGACAGTAAGAATACAAACTTTTTAACCTTGAGAGAGAAAGAGACTAACCTCGTTTAGAAGCTATAGAAGGCCAACGTGAGGCACCGTTAAAAAAGAGAAGAACGTCTGTTTTTTTAGATCAAAGAAAAATCTAGAAAAAGAGCTAAGAAACAAGCTAAGTTCGTATTTCTCTTTTATACGTGTACGTGAAGATTCAGAGGGATTCAAATCTTGTGGTTGTATATGTGTAAAGAACAGCCATGATGAATTGATATTATAGGGCTAAAGACCCTATCGAGACATAGGTTCATTCACATCAAGTGATCTGAATTCGTAATCAGATTATACAAGTGTGAATGTGTTGTTCGGTGTATCAATCGGTGACGAATCACAAATAACTCAGAATGAACCCTAAAACTACAAGTCTGAGATAATAACCGTTAAACCATAGAATCTAAGAACAAAGAAATCGATGCTAGGTTCTGCTTGCAGCAGAACCTAGCATCGATCCTGCATTCCTTGAGGATACAAGATTATTTCATCAATCCTGGCAAAGCGTTTAAAGCCGATTCTAAAGCAGATCATTGTTCCGAATCAAGCTGCATTCCTTGAGGGTAGATTGATGATGGACAATGTTCTGCTTGCATCAGAGCTTGTGAGAGACTATAATAGAAGCATTGAACCGGGTTGTGCTATGCTTAAGATAGATATCAAGAAGGCATTTGATACATTGAATTGGGATTTTATTATCCAGATTTTACGAGTGGTTAAGCTCCCTCCGAGATTCATCCATTGGGTTGCAGCTTGTATAACTACCACTAAATTTTCGGTGGTTATCAATGGCGAGCTAACAGGGTTTTTCCATGGTCAGAGAGGGTTGAGGCAAGGTGATCCACTATCTCCCTACCTCTTTATCCTCGCCATGGACATCTTTTCTCGCATGTTGGATGCATCAGTGAAAGAAAACAAAATCAAGCTGCATCCTAGATGTTATGACCCGATGATTACACATTTGTCATTCGCAGACGATGTTATGGTCTTCACGGGAGCTGATTCTGCATCCATTGGGGCGGTCATGCGTGTTATTGATGAGTTTGGGAGAATGTCAGGATTACAAGTCAATCGAGACAAATCTGAGATTTTCTTCAGCTCTAACTGTCGTAGCATCTCGCAAAGCCTTCTTGACATCACAAGAATGAATGAAGGAACCCTCCCGGTTCGTTACCTAGGAGTCCCCCTAAGTCCATGGCGACTAACAAGTGGAGATTTTCAACCTCTTTTAGATAGAATCCGAAGCAAGATCATGAGCTGGACAACAAAGTTTCTTTCATCAGCCGACAAGATCCAATTGATAGTCTCGGTGATCTATGGATTGGTAAATTCTTGGAGCAACATCTTCCTCCTCCCTAAATGCCTCCTAAGGAAAATAGACAGCATGTGCTCAAAGTTTCTATGGAGGAATGTGCAATCAGACTCGACCAATGCTCGAGTCGCATGGGATACCATTTGTATGCCGAAGAAAGAAGGAGGCCTTGGACCGAGAAAGCTCATTGATGTTAACGTGGTGTTTCAGCTCAAGCAATTCTGGGATATATTTGCCAAGAAACGATCTTTATGGGTGGCTTGGCTCCACCGAAACCCATTAAAGAGAAGGGGGGCTATGGGATACCCAACCAAACCCGAGATACTCATGGAATTTACGGAAATTGCTTGGAATAAAAGAGGTTGCTCGTCCATTCCTTAAAATACACTTGGGAAATGGACGCACAACCTCTTTTTGGCACGATTCATGGACTGATTTGGGCCCCTTGATTCAGTTTGTTGGAGAAAACGGACCATCACTTTTGCGTATTGGTCGAAATGCAAAAGTTGCTACAGCTTGCAGGGAAGGACACTAGAATATGCCAGGAGCAAGGAATGACAGAATTCAGCAACTCCAAAGTGAGCTCTGCAGGATTGAACCACCTGATGAAGAAATGGGGGAGGACAAACCGCTATGGAGACACAATGACAATTCATTCCGCCAAACTTTCTCCTCGGCCAACACTTGGAACCAAATTCGGCAGAGGAGTGAAGTCAAAGCATGGCACTCGATCATTTGGTTTCGTCTTGCTGTCCCGAGACTAGCTTTCATCCAGTGGGAAGTCTTCTTACAACGACTTCCAACCATGGACAGATTGTTAAGATGGGGACTAGTAACAGAGGCTTCTTGCATCCTATGCCGAAATGCTGACGAAAGCCATCAACACTTGTTCTTCGCCTACCAGTACAGCTCCTCCGTTTGGTGTTCCCTAGCTGCTAGAATCTGGAATCATCCGCCATTAGATATTCAAGCATGCGTTGACTGGATCAATAATGCAGCCAATGACACCGCACGAAGTAGGAACATGCTTGCAAAAACTCTGCTCCAAACGACAATTGAAGGCATTTGGAGGGAGCGTAACCACCGCCGATTCCGACAAAAAGAGAAACCTGTCGCATTACTCTGACGAAAGATCGAAAGGTCTGTTCGTAACACTCTCCTGGCTACACCAAGGGTCCGTCAATTGCAATCCTCCTCCCTTCTTGAAGATTGGTATTTTCTTGAGGCATACTCTCGTAATGAAGTCCTAGTTTAGATGTCTTTTATCATCTCCCCAACATGGGGTTTTTGTGTTTCTTTTTCACTTATCATGGGTACCCTATCTTTTGTATTCGGTTAACACCGACATGTAATTATACTTCTTACTAATATATTTTACATTTAACCAAAAAAGAAAAAAAGAAATCGATGCTAGGGTTTGGTCAAAGATTTCCGATGACTAGGCAAAGAAAGAGGCAGAGAGAGATCAGTGAGGAAGAAGCCTTGTGAGGGTGCGTCGTGACAACGATTACCAATCAGACAAGAAAGTGGACTTTGTGGATATTTGCTTTGGGGCATGAATCCACTACATTAACCTATTCACGATCTTTTGGTCGACTCAACCCTTTTTTATCAACTACAGCAAAAAGAGCTTCACCGACTACGGTGCACCCCCGCGGATGGCGCCGACCAGACGACCGTGTGTAGGTGGATAGAGTCGTGCAAATTTTTTCAAGCTCAATGAAGAAAATGTGATTGCGGTGCTTGACATCACTGATGAAACGTGTAAGAGTGTGAGAGGTCTCCGAGCGCCGGCGAGACCGCCTTGGAAAGGAGAAACTCCTATATGGGAGATTCGCTTCGGATCTCTTTCATCCGGTGACGAACCGGAGTGGATTTAGGTGTAAAAGGGTTTTCCTGAGCCGATCAACTGTCCGAGGGCGAGATTCGCCCGCAATGGCCTAAAAACAAATTCGTCAATCTCAGAACTTTCAAGTAAAATAGATCCAATTTACTAAGACTTTGAATGAAAATGGTTTTTATTTTGGGTTTTTGGTTTTAGTTTTTGGATTTTGGTTTTTAGTTTTTGGTTTTTGGCTTTTGGATTTTATAATATTTGAAAACTCAAAAAAAATAGCTTTTGGTTTTTCATTGATTTTTTCACTAAAATGGCTTTCCAAGTTTTTAGGAAAAATAATTTTATAAAAACTTGAATGTTGTTTTTTTTAGTTTTTGGATTCTAAAAACTCCAAAAAGTCCCATTGAAGGCCTAAATCAAACTTCGCTCACATTGAAGGAGGGAGACGTGGAGAAAAATGTTGGTGGAGGGTTTATAGTGTTTTTTTGGAATCCAACTGTTTCACAACCCCCCCCCCCCCCCCC